TGTAATTTTTATGAAAATAAATGTAATTTTTATGAAAATAAATGTAATTTTTATGAACTTACTTGTTAGTAAAATCTATGTATTTGTATAAATGCTACACAAAATGAAAGTATTATTTATGGAGGGTTCGACTTATGGAGTTTTTAGTGTAACTGAAATTAAATAATTTGTAAATAGTTTTATAGTTAAAATCTTAACAAATTAAATAGTTTTCAAATTTAATTGAATTTGTTTGTAGTTAATTTAATAAATGTAAATTTTCAAAACTTATTATTATAACAATAATTACATTAAAAATAATACTAAAGAACTTAAAACACAAAAATAATTTAAACCTAAAACGCTAAACAAAATAGACATATAGTTAAACACTAGCGTCACTGACATAAACACCAGACACTACGGCACCCGTACTCAATGGCACTAGCATCATGGGCATTGGCCGCTCAATACCGTCCCTTAACTAACCCGGAGGCCGAAGCCGAGCACCGGGCGATGTGCACCGACCACGAGCTCATGCCTGTGTCCCGAAACATAGTCACACCGTCTTCCAGTATTTATAAGGGAAACACCGGACCGACCGGACCGCTAGTCCAGTTGGAGAGGGCCCGAGAGATCGTCGCCCAGTCGGCCGACAGGTGTGCTGAGTTGAGAGACGAGTTCCGGTCCGACCAATACCCGGCCAACGCCGCGAACCCACAACACATGGCTGGACTGTACGACCGGCTATACCACGAGGTGTGGACCTCGCGATACAGAGAGTGTTGGGCTCCGGTAGTGGGCGCCCGAGTGGCCGGCGTTACCGAACCGGCGATGGCGGTCTACCGGAACCGGTTGAGCACCACTGTAACCGGTTGGGACAAATACAGCCGCGCCCGGGCCGGTTTAAACCAGATTCAACGAGAGGCCCGATTGGACACATTGAACACTGTGATGGCCGCCCGACGCCAGGAGTTGGATAATTTCCGAGAGGCCCTACAGAAGCCGGACCTCGATGAAGTAGAAGTGATAAAAATGTGTACCGGTCGAGACCTGGCCCGGGCTGCGTCCCAAGACGGCCAACGGGTGCCCGTCGGGTACGCCAATCAGCAAAACACGTGGCGAAATATACCCGATGCCGAACAACTCGACAATTATATACAGAATGTCAATCATTACGGCCAGTGTTTGCGGCGCCGGCAGCAGGAGGTAGAGGTGGGTTCGCCCGACGATGTGATGTACGAGCGATTGGTCGAGTGTGTGGTCCAACTGGCCCGACAGGTGAACGCTGAAGAAGCGTTTGATTGCATTTCACAGCAAAACACACCAAACACTGCACACAAACCCAATGGCCCTCACAATCAACCGTTCAATAATAGCGTCACTCAATTCACACTCAATTCACACACTTTTCAACATTACTTTCAACACTAAAGTGTTTCTCATTTATTAAACATGATTTAACCTTTCATTTACTATATTACTTATCTTTAGTTTATTAAAGTTGAGTTATTTTTGGATTATTAATGCAATTATTGTTTAATTTTTTATAACGGCATCAATTATAATATAGTAATTTTGTATAAATAATACAATTTTCTATATATTTAAAAAGTTTACTTTTTTACTCTTTTCATAATAATTTAATAATACAGTAATTAAACATATATTTGATAATAGAATAATTAAATCAAAAGTATATATTATTTATAATATTCAACGATTAGTATCGCAATAAGAATATTATAGACTTTTATAATTGAAATAACATTAAAAGTACATTACATTGTTATATTTTAATAAAACTATTTTATTGTAAATTATAACAGAATTATAACAGAATAATACAGAATACAGAGATTGAGAAAAAATAAGCATTCCGTTAGCTATTATTGATAAATATATATATATTTAATTAAAACTTATAGTTTTGATTGATTTGCAATTTGTTGCATAAATTTCAAACAATCGGTTAATTCTTTCTTATAATTCAAAGCATTTGTATTTCCATTATTTTTAGTGAACGAAGAGATTCGTTTTTATTAAACTAAAAACCTACCTAATATTGTTGTCGGCATAGGCAGTATTTGCTCACCGGGCATTGTGTACTTTCTGAGCCCGCGATATCTCCGGTGGACACTCCAGCTGTATACCTTCACAATCGACCGCACGTATAACTCATTTGAATATAACTTTTGTAGCGTTTGATAATCGGATTCAGTCAATGGGTTGTCCATTACATACTGAGATAAACCCCACTCCCAGTGACCGCTCTTTACTTCTTGTGCCACACAATTGTAGCCTAATTTTGGTAATGAATAGCATTGTTAGATACGGTATGAATAAATGTTACAAATATTTATACCCAAAAGAATTCGATCGATTCCGTGACGTAACTGACGTAAAAACCATTATCAAAACACTGAAACCTACCGCAGGTAGTCTCAGACTTTCAAACCTAGAAATTTCTTCACATGCTTAACAACACATTGTGAAGCCTACGTAAGTCAGGATGGTTTGGCATACATACGAGTGCCACCGCTCTCGTAGGTCGCGCCTACTTTGCCGTGAAGGCGATAGTAAGTGAGTGCTATCGCCAACTGAATCCATGAGTCGGGACTGCATTTTGCACTTTTAATATATTCTTTGCCGTAATCTTGAAATTCAAGAACTTCTAAATCCAATGAATTTACAAAATCTAAATATTTCTTTTTGGAGAACTCGTCGGAGGCTTTCAATCGATCACTGTTTGCATTCGATGCCAGAGTTAGTTCTTGAAGATCCGCATTCACTGACTTCTTTAAAGCCGTAGTCCTGTCGGACATTAAATGTTTGATGGAGTGCTCCATAAGCTTAACAATAGTGCCGCCTTCAGCCGGCGTGTGCTCATAACAAAAGGCACTTCCGATCAACTGATCGCCACTTTTGTCGCAAACAATAATCAGTTGTATTGTCTTATCGAACCAACGGTTCCCTATGTTATCAATATCTGCGTGAAGTGATTGTTTGCCCATAATTTTATAATACGATTCGTTGTCTTTAAATGTATGGTCAGTGCAGTCGATGTGATCGATGTTAACAACAAAGTCGCTGTCAATGATTGAATTCATTGAGTTTTCATCCAATAAACCAAAAGCAGTGGAAAAGTCATTTCGAGGCAGAGCTGAGAAACTGCCGAATGATATACTCTGAGGAGTGGTTTGCGATAAAATGCTAACCACTGATGACTGGATCTTTGATAACATCACTTCTTTGTCATCGTTTTGGTTTAGATTTAATCTATAGAATCGATTCAATCGACTGATTATTATTGAGAAATCATTGTTTTCAAGCGAACCGAATCTGATTGTGTCGATCGGGTTCCCGGGTTTACGACACGTGCCGAAGATCTTATTGTACTGATCCATACATATCTTAGCCACCGATCCTTTCGCTGATATCTCGGGATTTACTCCATTTTTAAGTGAATTTTTGAAATCAATTACACTTAAGATGAGTCGAGAAATAAATTGTACCACAAATTCTCTGTTCGGTGTTTTCAATGTCTTGAGTTCGGGAAAAACAAGTCCCGGATTGGACCAAATCATAACCGGATCCCTACCCTCGAGGTATACTTTATTGATCCACCAGTCGTGAGACAACCAATTGGATGTTTGCGACGACTTCAGCTCTAATAGACTGTGAAGTTTAGGTCCGATGCCATCACTTCTCGAGAAGTCGTCTATTATTTGATATAAATTTGTCAACTCTTCAGTACTTTTGGCGAATGGTTTGGTCGACTCTCGCAGTCGATCCACTGTCATATCCAAAGCGGGAACCACTAGTTTGGGCAACTCATCCGCTCTGGCCATCGATGACAGGCCTCTCGTGGCAGCCATTCGGCCATAAACTGATCCAAACAATTGAATTTCGTTCAAACCATTGAGTCGTTTGAATGTTTTCAACAGATTTAACATAATATTATGGCTTTAATTGATTTCCAATGAATTGTGTTTTCAATCCTAAAAATAGTTGCAATCAAGAGATGAACGCAAACTAAACCATAGCTAACGATAACATTGAGTGAATGTTGGCATAAAATGTGAACATCTTATCAAAAACTTGTCAACATTTTTGCCATAAGTTTTTAAATTCAAGTAAATGTAACTTTAGTTCAAACAAATCATTCATTTCATTGATTGTCAAAAACTTTTTTATAAAACTTTATATTTCTTGTGATGAAATCAAGTCATCATATTTTTTATGACAAGATTTTGTCCGCTTTTCTGCTTTTTAAATGCATTTTTCCCTCAAATTAACATTTTCTCACAGATAGACACATCATTACTGTACTAATGATAGGCTATTACAGCGCTTTAATAGTACAGTCTGTATGACTCACCCTATTTAATGCAGTGTATGTTTGATTTGCATTTGATGCGGGGGTAGTCCTGCGACCGGGGGTTCGCTTCACACACTCTTTGGCATACCTTTAGTGCCCAACCCTTGCGTAATAAAGTGTGAGTCGTGTCTGAAATGCGTTTACTATACGAACGTCAATAATGTCTTATAAATATTGCCTATAAATAGCCCCTAAATAGAGGTATTGTTGTAACGACTGGTCAATAATGAATGGATTGGAATGTAGTTTGCATTGAAATGAATGCATTGAATGCCATCATTGATGGGTTGGGAGAGTGTGTATGCGTTGCGCGCATGCGTTGTGAGCCATACAAATGTCTCGATGTGTTGAGCGTATGATTTTCAGCCAAAGTGAATGCATTGAAAGCATTGAACGAAAGTATGGACTGAAGTGTCGGTTCGTTTTGAATGCATTCACTGTTTGTAAGGCTATTATAATGGCGTCAATGAATAGCATTAAAAACAATCACATTTCGGACAACAATTCATTCAATGAATGCAATGATCAGCAAAACATTTGGTGAGTACTGCCATCACTTGATCCACTGTTTGTAAGGCTATTATAATGGCGTCAATGAATAGCATTAAAAACAATCACATTTCGGACAACAATTCATTCAATGAATGCAATGATCAGCAAAACATTTGGTGAGTACTGCCATCACTTGATCCCAACCATTGTCTTGACCACCGGTTGTCCCAACAGGTCGTCGATGTTAACACAGGTCCAGACGTCGGCCTCCAATAAGTTGCCCTCAAATAAAGCGATTATCGTTTTGGGTATTGTTTTTCATGCATTCAAACACACTATCAATGCATTCAATCAATCATTCACTCAATTATCGCAACACATGTACAGACATATCGTTATCATATATTTGTATCGCTTTTTTGACTCAAATTAACTTTTTGTGTTTGTTTGACTGATTGAAGCATTGCATGTGTTTTGAGTATAACTAATAGTTTGAATTGGTTTTATAGGAGACAATGATTCGGGAAAGACATCACTGATCGCCAAAATGCAGGGCAATGAGGACACGAGGAAGGGGTCGGGTCTGGAATACCATCACCTGTTGGTTAGGGATGAATATCGAGACGAACAGACACAGTGTGGNATGTGTTTTGAGTATAACTAATAGTTTGAATTGGTTTTATAGGAGACAATGATTCGGGAAAGACATCACTGATCGCCAAAATGCAGGGCAATGAGGACACGAGGAAGGGGTCGGGTCTGGAATACCATCACCTGTTGGTTAGGGATGAATATCGAGACGAACAGACACAGTGTGGCGTTTGGATCCTCGACGGCAACTGTAGCTGGAATTCACATCTCCTGAGGTTTGCTATCAATGAGAGCACGATTCCGGACACGACTGTACTGTTGACCGCTTCGATGACCAAACCCTGGGATATAATTGACTCATTGGAGAAGTGGACCAAAGTATTAGAGGAACACATCCTTAAACTCGATCTTAAGCCCGAANGCGTTTGGATCCTCGACGGCAACTGTAGCTGGAATTCACATCTCCTGAGGTTTGCTATCAATGAGAGCACGATTCCGGACACGACTGTACTGTTGACCGCTTCGATGACCAAACCCTGGGATATAATTGACTCATTGGAGAAGTGGACCAAAGTATTAGAGGAACACATCCTTAAACTCGATCTTAAGCCCGAAGTCCTTAACAACTATAAACAGCAAAGTATTTAATCTGATAATCCGTTTGCTTGATGTTTGAATCTAACGATGTGTTTGCATTGGATTAGTGTTGAGGCGATACGTGGACTACATATCTCCTGGCGATGAAATGGAGGGTTTAGTCAATACTCCGGTTAAGTTGCGAAGTAATAGTGATTTGGACGCCACACTCAAAGCCAGTATTACTAGCAATTCAGTCAATAGTCCTCTGCCTGAAGGCGTCTTAACGCATAACTTAGGTCTCGACGTGATTGTCGTTATCACCAAAACTGATTTCATGTCCTCTTTGGAGAAGGACTTTGATTATAAAGAAGAGTCGTTTGATTTTATACAACAAGCGATTCGCAAATTTTGTCTTAAATGTAAGTATAATTTCATGCATTTGAGTTTAACATGCATTCAAACACATGATGAGATAATACAGACCTGTTATGAGTTATGATTACAACCATTCCACCTGTTTCTGAACATATGTTACACTATTATCATTGAGTTAATTATAATTTTGAAATTTACAATAATTGTTGTTTTCTCTGTCCATCTGTACAGTCGGTGCCTCTTTACTATACGTTTCGGTTAAAGTAAATAAAAATTGTGATCTTCTCTACAAATATCTCGTCCATAGGATATATGGACTCAAATTCAAAACGCCTGCTCTTGTCGTCGAAAAAGATGCCGTCTTTATGTAAGTTTATTTGAATTGCTTTTGTATTGCGTTAACTGATTATGAATTGTGTTACAAATAGACCCACGGGTTGGGATAATGAGAAGAAAATAGCAATTTTATACGAAAATATTCAATCCTTTTCTCCTGACGATGACTACAACGATGTCATTGTGGGTCCCGTCGGCACAAAAGTGAGTCTTTTCAATACAATAACTATTCCTTTTGACACTTTTTCAAAGCAATACTAAATTGAATTTTGATTTAAAGCCTCTTCAAAAAGAAGTGGAGACGTCGGCAGAAGAGGATCAGGTGTTCCTTCTGAAGATGCAGAGCCAACTCAATCAACAAACACCCATCGGAGCAATAGACCCACGGGTTGGGATAATGAGAAGAAAATAGCAATTTTATACGAAAATATTCAATCCTTTTCTCCTGACGATGACTACAACGATGTCATTGTGGGTCCCGTCGGCACAAAAGTGAGTCTTTTTAATGCATTAGTTTCCTTTCGACCCCTTTTTTGAAGAGGTGGTTATGTGTTTGAAAGCAATACTAAATTGAATTTTGATTTAAAGCCTCTTCAAAAAGAAGTGGAGACGTCGGCAGAAGAGGATCAGGTGTTCCTTCTGAAGATGCAGAGCCAACTCAATCAACAAACACCCATCGGAGCTAATCCTGTAATTATTGGCTTTATTTATTGACTTATATTGTAATTTAATGATGAGTTTATACAGACCTGTTATGAGTGTTTATTGATTATATTTTCAATCCTGAAACTAATTTACTAGTTATGTATAAATACTTTGAAAGCTTTATATTAAAACCGATTGTTTATTTAAAGCCGACGCGAACGACACCAACGGTTCAAAAGCCAACAGAAAGGCGGACACCGATGAACACGCCGTCTCCGGGCGCACAAGTATGGCTTGATTTGATTGTATGACTGAATAGTTGTTTAACAAAATGTATGTTTTGAACGACAGATCGATAGCGCAAAGAACAGTCCGGGAGGTGAAGGAGTTCTGCAGACGTTTTTCAATAGTTTGTTAAGTCGTAAATCTGGGGGATCGCCGGGTATGGGATCTCCGCGGACGCCAAACACAATGGCCGATAACCTGACGGCTGCCAACGTTCACGCGGAGTTGGACCGTATGATAGGCAGCAATAGGATGTCCAGCAATACCTCTACGCCAACACACAATCTAAACGTTTCCACGTCTTCAGAGCAATGATTTTTTATTTTTAAAAATGTTAGGTTTTATATAATTATATAAATATTTGTAAATAAAAGTAATTTAAAGCTAACTTATAATATAAACTGAAATCATGCAAAACAAGATAGCATTTGAGTTGCAATTCATGTTTTGTTAAATAGAAAAAATGACATTATTTTCGTTATGAGTAATTGTTGCAAATATTTCTGGAATTAATTCTTATCTATAATTAATTTATTTAAATACTTTTCAAGCATTTTCTTTATTATTTATTCTCATCACTTCGACAACAAACAAATCAAAAACAAAATATTGCAAAAACTGACTTAAATACTATACGCTCTGCTTAACTGACAGCTATTAATTTAAATACTTTTCAAGCATTTTCTTTATTATTTATTCTCATCACTTCGACAACAAACAAATCAAAAACAAAATATTGCAAAAAACTGACTTAAATACTATACGCTCTGCTTAACTGACAGCTATTTATTGTTTGAATTAAATATGATTTTTATAGATATTTTATAAAATACAGCCATTAATTAAAAATGTTTTCGCTATTGTTTATAAAATGTTTATTAAAATGTCTAATATTTTTAATGAATTTTTACTGCATTGCTTCATAACTGGACATGTATTTCATTATATGATTGCATAACTAATGAATTTATAAATTGCTAATAACTCAGTGTAAATGTTCTGAGTTTTTATATGGACTTTGCATTTACAGTAAAAAACTACTTTTCTAAACGAATGATTGATTTGAATTAAATTCAAATACATTTGTTGTAGATTACATTACAACCAATCAATTAAATAATCAACTGATTAATTGTTAGACATTAATATGAATTGTATTCATTGGGATCACAACAAAATAAATTTAGCTCAAAATAAAATGAAATTAAAATATTTTTTAAAATTTGGTATTCATTTGTTAATTAAGTGCGAGTTTTATGTAGTGCTAATGTCTGGACAAATTGATGTCTGGTTTGTACCCAAAAATAAAAATACATTCAGTTTAGAAGATATGGGTTTTAGAATAAATAGAAGACTTGTTTTAAAGTAAAACTTTTGGACGAATGAGAGTATAGTTTGTAGGGATAGGAGAAGAGGAGGAGATCTGTTTGTTTCAATGATAAACACATATCACATAAACACTCAAATAGTTTGACTCAAAACTTTGAGGAAGTTTTGAACATAACATTAGAACTCATAATTCATTGGATTGAATTGATTTTATATTTTGGTTTTAATTATTTATCATTCAAATGACGCGATTATATAATTAATTGTAATTATAGTTAAAATGCCCTAAATTGTAGTATTTATTGATAAATTGTAGTTATAATTTAGTTAACATTAAATTTTGTTAAATTAAATAAACAAACGGTGTTTGACTGGAAATTGTTATCATTTGTTACGAATTGTATGTTTTGTTGATTTTATGTGAAATAATGGCGTTTTTAAATCAAATAAGATATCAATTAAATCAACGATTGTTTGGTCCGTCACTTGCGTTAAGAAGTGTTTTGTTGTCGAATGAGAGGAATATTACTTTTACGGCACAACACGAAGAACTGAGAAAAACAGTGAAAAAGGTTTTATTAATTAATTATTAAATTTACAATTAATAACAATTGAATTACAGATCATTGAAAAGGATGTCAACCCTTATGTCGAAGAATGGGAAGAGAAGGACATCTTTCCGGCTCATCAGGTGTTCAAAAAGTTTGGCGAAGCGGGTCTTCTGGGCATCACTAGACCTCCAGGTCTTTCCAATAAATCATTTATTATGTGACCATTAATTTCAAATTAACACTAAATATGATTTGATTTTACAGAATATAATGGTTTGGGTTTAGATTATTCATATAGTATCGCATTCTTCGAAGAGTTGGCGAATATAAACTGCGGAGGAATACCGACAGCCATTACGGTTCAGACAGATATGGCGATCCCAGCGCTGACTCAGTTTGGAAGCGATTACTTGAAGCGTGAGTTCTTGGCGCCAACCGTTGCGGGCGATTATGTGGCCTGTGTTGGAGTGAGTGAACCGAGTGGTGGCAGTGATGTGGCCGCTCTACTAACCACTGCCAAACCACAAGGCGATGATCTTATCATAAATGGTAGTAAAATGTGGATCAGTAATGGAATACAAGCCGATTGGATGTCACTTTTGGCCAATACTCGCGAAGGAGCGCCCCATAAGAATAAGTCCTTAATATGTTTGCCGCTTAAGACACCGGGAGTTAGGACTGAAAAGATTAAGAAAATGGGTTTAAAGTGTTCGGACACTGCGATCGTATACTTCGATGACGTAAGAGTTCCCGCGAAGAACATCGTTGGAGAAGAGGGCCAGGGATTCACTTATCAAATGATACAGTTTCAAGACGAGCGCTTGTGTGCGGCCGCCGCAGGTTTGTCCCAATTTTACTCTTGTATTCTCAATGAGAATAATAAATATAAATGCAATTTATATGATAGCCGTATCACAAGTGGACCGTATTATCAATGAGACTATAGAGTACTGTCGACACCGCAAGACATTTGGTTCCCCTCTCATCGATAATCAAGTGATTCACTTCACTCTCGCAGAACTCAAATGTGAGGTCGAATTACTTCGTTCCTTAGTCTATAGAGCGGCCGGTATTTACACATTAGAGCTTATCATTCACTTAGGAATCGGTAATAATGTTATTATTTCAATTTTTAGACGCTTTCATGAATGGAGAAAACGTCACATTCTTGGCCTCAATCGCCAAATTAAAAGCCGGACGTTTGAGCCGAGAAGTGGCCGACAAATGCCTTCAATATTATGGAGGAATGGGTTATACAAACGATATGCTAATTAGTAGAGCCTTTAGGGACGCGAGGGCTCTATCGATTGCTGGCGGAGCCGATGAGATAATGCTTGGAATTATCAGTAAATTCCTCGACATTTTACCCAAAAGGAAGAATTAGATCTGAACTCAAAGAAGAATTCATTTGTTACACAATTTTTTACAAAGTTTTAAATATAAAATCTTATAATTTATTAAATGAGTGAAAAGACATTAAATGAATCTAAAATACAAAACACATTAAATAATGAAAAACAATGAATTATAGCTCTTCGTGTTCGTGTTCGTCCTCTTCTTCCTCTTTGGTCTCTTCTTCCTTGTCGTCGTCCTCCTTGTCTTCTGTCTTCTTCTCTGAGTCGGTGGCCTTCTTCTCCTCCTCATCCAACTTGTCTTTCATTATCTTCTCGTCTTTCACTGTGGAGTTGAGGATCTCGTCCTGGATCTCATCGGCCTCTTGTTCGCTGTCGGTAATCAACACGTTGTCGAAAATGGTTCCGGCCTTCACTTGCCATAAGTCGAAGCCGATGGCGCACACGTCCTTTTGCAGGTAGAGGTTAGTGTCGGCGACATACGCGGGGTTATCGACCTCCGGGTGAACCCACGGGCCCTTATAGGCGGGATTGTCGATCTGTTTGGGTTTCCACTCGCCCTTATAGGCCGGGTTATTGATCTGCGGCGGCTCCCACTCGCAAAAGAAGAATTCATTTGTTACACAATTTTTTACAAAGTTTTAAATATAAAATCTTATAATTTATTAAATGAGTGAAAAGACATTAAATGAATCTAAAATACAAAACACATTAAATAATGAAAAACAAACAATGAATTATAGCTCTTCGTGTTCGTGTTCGTCCTCTTCTTCCTCTTTGGTCTCTTCTTCCTTGTCGTCGTCCTCCTTGTCGTCTGTCTTCTTCTCAGATTCGGTGGCCTTCTTCTCCTCCTCATCCAACTTGTCTTTCATTATCTTCTCGTCTTTCACTGTGGAGTTGAGGATCTCGTCCTGGATCTCATCGGCCTCTTGTTCGCTATCAGTAATCAACACGTTGTCGAAAATGGTTCCGGCCTTCACTTGCCATAAGTCGAAGCCGACGGCGCACACGTCCTTTTGGAGGTAGAGGTTAGTGTCTGCGACATACGCGGGGTTATCGACCTCCGGGTGAACCCACGGGCCCTTATAGGCGGGATTGTCGATCTGTTTGGGTTTCCACTCGCCCTTATAGGCCGGGTTATTGATCTGCGGCGGCTCCCACTCGCCGTCCATCTCGTCGTCCCAATCCTCGGGTTTAGTGGCGTCCGGATCCGCGATATACTCGGGCTGTTCCCAGTCCTCGGGCTTAGTGTCCGACTCGTCGTCAATCTTCGCCCTGTCGTCCCAGTCCTCGGGTTTCTTGGCCTCGGGATCTTTGATCTTCTTGGGCTCCAGGAATGCCCAGTCCTTCTCCAGCTCTCCCTTCTCTACCACTTCGCCGTCGATCAGCACTTTGTATGTGTTGTCGGGCTTTACAACCAATCGATAGATGTGTGTGAAAACATCGTCTTTGCATCGGATCTCTTTAGTGGTCAACAGGTTTTTGCCCTTATAGTTGAAGATCACGTGAACCTAAAAGAGGGCGAAAATGTGGTTAATACAAGCATCGGAAGTAGGAATGGGTGGAGACATACCTTCTTAGTGCCGGGACCGCAGATGTCGGGTCCAAACATAATCAGATACGGAGACTCGCCGTGAAGTGAGGTCTGGTCGAGACTGCAGTCAAACACTTTCACATAACCGCCGCCGCAGTCGATGTTCTGCTCGTGTTTGACGGAGAACTGGATGACCAGATCCTTGCCGTCGTTGGTGTAGGCGTTGTCCTCGAATTTGGCCGAAATGGCATAGAATCGGGCGTCGGTTGTGGTTTGAATGCCTTTGTCTTTGTCTTCGTTGCCGTAGAACTTGCCGGCCGTCCACTTGAAGTCGCCGTACTCTTTGCCCGAGTGTTGCGATTGGATCCACCGTTTGCTCCAATCGGCGTCCGAGAAGTCCTCTCTGAAGTAGATCTTAGCGTAAGACAAGTGGCCGACGGCTAACACGACGGCCAACACTGACACCAATTTGCAAATCATCGCTAATTATGAGTTGATTTGGTTCTCACTCTCTGTCTGAATGGTCTGAACGCGAGTGAAGTCGAGACACAATCCGAGTCTTAAATATAAAGTGTTTTTCACTTCATTCGTGGAGGCATTTCATTGGCTCACAGCAAGTGTTGGGTGGAGTTCAGCGCCTCAACCAATCACGAGCTGCCACTTGGAAGACAGTTCTCAACACTTATCCAACACTTGTTAGAGACTATGAATCGTCTGTTTGTATGCAATGAACGAACGAATGGATCGAAAGCCGGCTTTTGATGCCTTTTCTCATACTTTCAAACCATTTGTGATTCACTTTTGCCAACAATTCACACAATTAGGCAAAAGTGCATAAACTCTATACAACTACAGTATAACCCCTACACTAGTGTTGTATTAATTGTTATTTAATGATAATTAAGACATGATTTGCATCTCATTTAATAGATTGATACAATTGAATGAATAGTTGTGATTGCAATGAATAGCATTGACAGCATTAGGCATATGTGTGTTGTTTGTGCTTTCGGTCACTAATATGCAAATGTTTAATGCGGTTAACAATTGAGAGCAATTAGTATAGCATTTGCGACATTTTGTCATATCATATCACTCTTCACTCATCATTGCATTGTATTGTAACTCATATTCACTGCAAAGTATTGTTATCGACGACAAGAGTTATACAACTCATCAATTGATCATTTAGTGAGAATCAATTGAGAGAGAGAGAGAGAGAGAGAGAGAGAGAGAGAGAACCCTCTTTTAGGTTCACGTGATCTTCAACTATAAGGGCAAAAACCTGTTGACCACTAAAGAGAGAGAGAGAGAGAGAGTTTGTGTCAGGAAAAAGCGATGAAAGCCTTTGGAATAATAGGAAAAATCAAAATAAATGAAAACCAGTTCTAAATCTCAAACTTTTGACTGACTTTTGCTATAAGTTTAGAGACATTATAACACATATTTGATGGAGAGTTGAGTCACGTGTTGTCATCTGTTTGGAAGCACTGGTTGTGTGAATGGTTTAAGAGATTGTGATTCAGTGATCATCAGTAATGCGAAAATACGCCAACAAATCGCGATTGGCCTCCAGTTTGCATAAGTCAGCGGTGAATACATTGGTCGGACTCACTGTCTTGGGCTGCGGTATACTGTCTATGCAATTGTATGCATACATGACTCAAATCAAACCAGAGCTCAACCAACAAGAGATTGAACGACAACAAGAAAGCGGTTCCAGTGAACCAAACCTTCAATAATGTCGTTCACACATGTGTTCAAACATTCATTCAAATTATTTGGTATCAAAACTAATCGTAATATTTGTGTCAAATTCTTGAGTCAATCCAATGGCAAGAATTGGCGAGTTTTGGGACTCAATCACATCGCGATCGCCACCAATGATGTGACCAAAGGATCCGATTTATTCAGAGATGTGTTTCATATGAAGACCAGCGAAACGAAGCCACAGACAGAACACGGCGTTAACACTGTCTTCGTTGACGCGAATAATACAAAAGTGGAACTCTTGGACCCAATCGGCGGTCCAAAGAGTCCCATTTGGGCCTACCTTCAGAAGAATACAAACGGAGGCATTCATCACATCTGTCTCGATGTGGACGACATCTATGCGGCCATCGATGACCTTAAATCTCATGGCATTCGTCTGCTATCGGATTCGCCCAAAACGGGAGCGCATGGAAAGGATGTCATTTTCCTGCACCCGAAGGACTGCAATGGAGTACTCATTGAATTACAACAGAAATAGATTTTGTTATCAATTATAATATATATTAGCATTAGTTTTGATTATTACTAAATTGTCGTACATTTTAATTATGAATAAATATTAATACAAATGTCATTAAACGCAAAATATCTTTGAAATTAGGATTTATTTTTGGTAATAATTTTCATTAATAGTCTTAAATACAGTTAATAACAGAAAATTTGTAAAATTTTAAACAAAATCAAAACTAATTGAATGAAAATGGAATCGAAAGTGATTTGAATGGAAAAAATGATGGTTTTTATAATATATGCGATTATATAATGTTTGCATTCATTGATTGTTTCAAAGAAAGAGATCACAAATGCCTTCATTTATGTCTAAATTGAAACAATAGTCGCGACCATTGGGTGGAGGACTGAGTCGTAGAAGGGGTGCGAAGACATCGGGAGTGACGGAGTGGTCGATATCCCTAATCTGTTTCTGTGCCAAAGGTATACGTATTTTGTTTGTATCGCATATATTGTCGGTTTTGTCTTCTTTCAAGTCTTCATTCGCCTCCGCTTCTAATGATTTCGTCATTTGTTTTGCCGAACGATTGGTTCGTTCTTTAGTCAGAATTGCGGACCCTTTGGCACCTTTAGAGCCATCGGAAACGGCGACCACTTTTTGTGTCTGAGAACGGGTTGTGGTAACAAAGAGGTGCTGTTGAGCGGCTTTACGGGGAGACAGTTGTCTCAAAGGCGGCGCCGCCGGTGACGGTTCGGGTGGCGATAACTCTTCATCGCTCGTTGCACTTGACTTCACCGGTTCTTTGCTTTGTTTCAATGCACTTCTTTTAATAGGCTTTTTGCTCGTCGTTTCCGATGGTTTAGTCGCAGCTCTGGTCGACGCTCTCGTGCCGTGAGAGTGAGCTGAAGAGCTCTCGTCGGCGCTCTGTTTAGGTATTTGTTTTATTTCAGTAAAAGACTTCTTCGGCACTCTTTCTGGACTAATAGAACCGATGGAAATGTTGTCAACACTTGACACCAATTCATTTGTGGTTTGATTCAAAACTTCAATCACTTCTGTTTCTGTCGAGTCTTCACTTTTGTTAACCAAAACCACATTAATTGGTCCGCTTCTGGACTTGAGATGAATTTGATATTTCCTTTTCTTCGGCGGTTTGATGTCCTCCTCAGCGGTGATCAGTTCGTCGTCGATGTCTGGGTCGGGAAGCGGTACTTCCAGTTGTGTGCCCACCGGTGCCTGTATTATGAGCAGCATTTTGCCCGCATATGTATTGTTGATGTCTTCGTGTCTCAGATAAGCCATACTTTTGTTGAACGAGTCGTCAGTGATGTTATGAATGGACTGTTTAGCCCACGAGAAGTGTTGGTCTAATTCCATCTCTTTGTCGTCCAACTCAACCAACTCTTCCTTAAGAGCGAGCAGTCGGTCAGTGATCTCCCGAGTGTTACAACCGGGTCCGGCGCCCAACCACTGGATCGAGTTCTTCGACTTCTTCTCAATCAGTCCAATGCCTTCCAACACATTCGTGATGTCGTAGATCCGTCTCTTCTGACGCACGGCTAACGTGTCGGCCGCCTATCAACACATCAAACAGATCCACACCATTAAGACAATTGTCATATCATGTGTTCAGACAAACCATTTTGAGGTCCAAAACGCCGTCCTTTGCGTCCTGTAATAGACTCACGAAACGAGTGGTCAAAAGGCCTAAACTCTTCTCGTGACGGCTCGCAGATGAGCCACAATCAGACAATTCTGACATTTCCAACATTTTCGGCCACAGAATGTGCCGAAGAGTTGGTCCCAAAGAAGTGTGGACTCAAAACACGAGTCAATGGTTTGTGTGACGACTCGTCGAGATATCCGTTGCTTTCGTCTCAACGATAACACAAAAGCGACGCTCAAAAAGACGTTCAATGATTGCATCGATTGTCGATTCATTGCTCTCAACACTGCTCACAGCCTGTCATCGCTTTAGCAACAAAAGGGACCCAAAGTATCGCCGTTTAGGCACAGCTTTGCACACCTTTTCATACAAACACTCACTCACTATAAACCGGTTGAGTGTTTGTGTGACACGAGGTGTCGCCACAGCTGTCGCTACACTTGTATTAGTGTTTGTTATCCAATATAACAGTAAAGTGTTTGCGATTCTCATGTGATTCCCATTTAGTCTGCATTTCATCGCAAATCCGATTCAATCAACAACTCATTTGAATTGTGTTTACAATCACTTCATTCATAGCCAACACTGCAATGACTTAAACTTCATTCATTAGGTAAGACATGTGACCAATCATTTCGCCCATCACTTGACCACTCGTTGAACACTTAATGTTTACTATCAAACCATTGATTCATTTGTTTACAGTTATTAGAGAATACATGAACTCATGTAATGTCCACTCAATTAGATATCAATTGTTAGCATTGATTGTCATATAATTGAACCTCAATTTTGAGATATCATTTGCGAGTCTCTCATAACTGAAAACTTTGCAAATCTATACAAATTGTGTGTAAATTATGATTAGGGAAACCGCGTTCCGGCTACTTTCCGGCTATTTTATATATATTATAGTGTGAAGGGATATTTATTTATATGTCTGTTAGGGTTGAAGTGTTCATTTGTCATGAAAATACATACATGTAAATGTAAATGACTCATATTGCAATATACATAAAAATCATGACTGGTTTGCTTAATTATGATTTAATGAATGATTTTATAATTAGGAACCAGTGTTTAATTGACCCAAAAATAATTAGCAATTAATATAAACTCAATAATAGATAATAAGATAATAACAATACGAGTGATAAATGTGTTG